TTTTCCAATCTGCCCTTCACTGTAAAGAATTCACATATGATGATGTTTATGAAGACTGGCAATTTTCTTACCTAATTTCCCAAAAAAAAATCACAATTGTTTTATTTGAAGTTTTTAATATATAATTCTGAGAAGGATGTCTAATTTTTTAGATTTATGCCAAGAAAGTCATCTATAACTTTTAGAGCGTTCTGAGCATCCACAGTGCTGCAAAAATTCTGCCTGGTGTGTGGTGATACAGGTAAATTTACCCTTTTTCATTTCAAAAAGACAGAAGGCACTAAAAGAAGAGGGGAGGCAAATGAATTGGTCTTACTTACTTTAAAGCACTGTTGACATTTTAATCCCTTGGACAACTTACATTGCATCTAGTCAATTGGTAGCACAGTATAAAATAGCTTCCTGATGATGTCTCTATATCTCACATTCTGTCTCCATCTTTCTCTCTTTGTTTTGCCTTAAAAATCACCTGCAATTCCATTTTTTATCTGGATGTAAAAAACGCCATCATTTTTAATGATTTTGATCATTGAATTATTTCTCCTCTACATAGAAACCCTCTAGTGTTCCAGGTATTGGTTTAGGGTCAGCTGTGTGCCATCTGTTGTGCTAAGAAGGGGCATACAGTGGTGCCCTAGAGACCCTGCCCTCCTGGGGCACAGATGTTGAAAGACGCATCCTGACTGCATGGAGGGACCCCTGCAGATGGAGATGCACTGACTGAGATAATAAAGTGCTATCAGGAAGTGTAGCAGAGGCTACCAACCAATTCGGAGAAGTGGGGAGAGTTTCCCTCAGGACCTGCCACTTGAAAGTGAGAACAGAAGGAAAATATGCAACGCATAAGAGAAGTTCCGGGGATGACAACAGGTAAAGGGAATGAGTTGTGGTGAGATTATTCAGGGTCCTGTGGTCTGTATGAAGGGCATCGGATTCTATTCTAGCATTTTAAAAAGTCATGGATTGTGTTTGACGGGAATTCGCTGTCAGGGTTTTGTTTAAGGAGACAGGCTGTGGTACCAACAATGTGGCCAGCATTCACTGGACCACTAACTTCAAGGATTTCTTTGTAGAAGAGAAATAATTCAATGATCAAATTCATAGGGGTAGCTTGATTAAAAGACTAAGAGAGAACACTAGTCAATCAGATGGGTTTTCATTGAGATGTTGGTTGGAAAGAATTGAACAGACTTAAGGGGCATTTAGAAGGTATGATTGTTAGAACTTGGTGATAGAAAATAGATATAAACTGTTTTCTTTACAGCACCATACTCTTGAATGAATACATCATTCTATATTTTTAAAATGCCACTCCATGCTACTCCCTCACATACACACCAAATAATTTTTAAAAAATAGCAAGAATATTTTTGGCTTTCACATCTATTTTAAGAAAAAATTAAATATAAAGGGCACAGAGAAAAGGAAAAGTAACATTAGCATCATCTGCATTTTTAAAATTGTGACACATTTGTGTTAGGAGATGGAAGCCAGGAATGTATAAGAGGAATACTTTTTGAAAGGCACTGGTAACACTGGGAATGAGATGTCATAGCCATCCTCCGTGTGAAGGAAGTTCCTTTTGAGCTAAAAGATGAAATAAAAAGGCAGGAGGCAGAGACTTCTAAGAAGACACTACACAATCAAGTTAGCTTCCAGAGTCTTGCTGCAGGCTTTGTGTCATTTGGTCTTGTTTTAGATTGTCATCTGAGATGTGGAAGTGAGTTCATAAGTGAATCTTGAAGTCTACAAGGATCAGAGCAGGCGAAGGTGCTCATCTTTGATGCCTGCTGAATGTCAAGTAGCCAGAATGCAGGAGTTCCCTTTTCAGCAAAGATGCGGCAACACCCGAAGTTTAACTTGTCCAAGATGGTAAGGATCAAAGCAATTGGAGGTTTCCCAGTGAAAAGCTGCCAGCCACTCAGGAAACAGGTTAGCACAAGCTACTCTCTCCATCAAGATTTCAAAAATCACAGTGACGGGAACCTCAGTGGCCTTGTTTATTTACAAATCTGGATTTAAATAATACTTCTTTTAGCTTTAGAAGGAAAAATAACAATCAACATTTGCGTTACTCTTTAAATAAGTTGCTTTATTTAAAGCTTAACTGAATAATAAAAATGTGTGATTTTCTCGTCAAGAGTTATCTGGGGCTTCTTGATAGCAAATAGACCACACTGTATTTATTTTTAAGAAACCACTGGCAAAAGAGGTTTGGGTTTAAAGTGCTTTATTTTTTGTTATGAATTACTAATTTAACCCTACTTTACTTATGCTAACCATTCATGCTGCAAAGAATAAGTATACTTTGTTTTTCATTATATCACAAAATAGTATAGACACATTCAGGCAGTAATGTCGTAAATACCATCACCTTTTCTGTGAGTAGGGAACTAATTTGAAAGATAGATCATTGTCATCAACGAACCACCACCCTCCTTTCCGTGATAAAACAACCAGTTATCTCAAAACAACATAATGAAATGTTCTGCCGCCCAGAGCATGCCTGCGGGAGTTTGGTTTCTCTAGGTGGAAATGCTTTCTGAGGCATGCTGGTAGAGAGGGGACTTACTGGAGGGGTATGGGGTTGCATGTAACATGCTGGAATGGCTTAGGGACCACCAGAACTAGCTCTGAGGACCAGGCTGGGTGGGGCAGCTGAGCTGAGGGTGCTCCATCTCTCCTTGCACTGATGACTCCAGGCCCCAGCCTCCAGGAGGAAGAGGAATTGAGACAAATCGGAGTCAGATCCCAACCATGACCAGATGAGAACATTGATGGCTCCAGAACCCAGTCTTGAGGAGGAGGAGAAGTTCAGAGGAATCCGAGGCAGATGCCAACCATGACCAGATGGGAACACTGATGGCTCCAGGACCCAGCCTCCAGGAGGAAGAGGAGTTCAGAGGAATCCGAGGCAGATCCCAACCAAGGCCAGATGGGAACACTGATGGCTCCAGGACCCAGCCTCCAGGAGGAAGAGGAGTTCAGAGGAATCCGAGACAGATCCCAACCAAGGCCAGATGGGAATACTGATGGCTCCAGGACCCAGCCTCCAGGAGGAAGAGGAGTTCAGAGGAATCCGAGACAGATCCCAACCAAGGCCAAGTGGAAAAACAGCTTCATTGGCAGCTCCACCAAGGCCGAGGGCAGAGAAATCTTCTCCTACTATATCATTAGTGCTGCCTACAAAAAAAAGAATTAACTGATGCAACAGAGTGCCTCCAGAGCTCTGAGTTTAGCAGGATGTAAAATCTGAGGCTCAACTTTATCTCTAATGTAAGAAGATCCTTCATTCAAGTCTGGTGGAAAACGTAATGATTTTAATTGGGGAATAATTTGTTTTAACCCACATAACCTCCCTTAAAAAATTCTATATGACATAAGTTTAGACATTTTAACTAGTGGAAGTTATTTTTGTTTAGGAATTTGTGATATTTTGGCAAAAACAGGTTATAGAACCTAATCCTGTATCTATAGTGATGGAGGGCAGGAAAATGGGACTCTGAACTGTCTACTCTCTACAGGAGAACAGGGTGGCATATCCCATGTAGAGCTATTAGCAAATTTAACCTAGAAACTAAATGCATTTGCAGAAAAAAAAAATACCATTTGCTGTAAGTTTTTTTTTTAATTTACTTATTAGTATGGATTTGACTGTGGGCCAAAGCATTTACATGAGTTATCACCCAGTCTTCTTTACGCAACTGGGAATATAATTGGAATGACAGCTTTAACTGGAATCAAGAGAAGGGTACTACTGAGCTGCCCCAAACAGCTAACATGAGACAGTCCATGAAGCTCGTTGACCTTCATGACATGATAATTACCTCACTGGTTTCATTCTTCCTATTGTTTAAGTGAGAAGACAGAATTCCTTTAGAGAGTTAAATAATATGGGCACAGTGTCTAACTAATCACCATCAGAATCAACCTCAAACCTATCTGACCGTGGGACCCTGCCAACAGTTACCTCCTAATGTGCCTCCCTAATCTAAGGCACCCACCTTTGTCCATGAGGTTACCGCACTATTGATTTGTGATTCTAGGGCTAACCATGAGTGCTCATGGTGGTGTTAGCACATGTGCCTTGGGCTACCCCAAGCCTCCCAGGCAGCTGGGAGCTGGAGGACCACCCTCTCAGCACATGCTGGGGAGTAGGAAGCTGTGGAGGAGGAAGCATGTTCATTGATGTCTCTAGTTCCTGTGGAAAGAATCACAGGATCTGGCACATAAAAGACCCTCAGCCCGTTTTATGGAGTGTGAGTGTGTTAATAGCAACCTGCTTGGCATTCTAAGATGTCCTTTGGGGTTTCAGCACTGCATTTACCAGACATTTTTAGGCCAGGGACAAACATGAATGAAAAAATTGTGTCTCAATCGTAAAACCTTTACAATCTCTTGAGGCATCCTAGGGTAGAAAAACTCAGCAACGTGGTGGAAAAGATAAGCACATGGTGTGGTCTGTCTAGCCCAGGAGGCCTGTGCATGCCTCTGTCACCAGAGCCAGCCCAGGAGACCCCTCCTGGAGACGCTACTTCTGCCCCATTGAGAGAAAGGCTTTCCATTGTGTTATTTAGGTAGACTTCTATGTAAGGAACATAAGACATTGTCCAGAAAAAAAAAATGACACAATGTAAAGCTTCACTTTTTAAAACTTATTTTTGGACCAGGTACTATGGCTCTTGTCTGTAATCTCAGTATTTTGGGAGGCTGATGAAGAAGGATCACTTGAGCCCAACAGCTTGAAACTTGCCTGGTCAACATAGCAAAACCCTGTCTCTACAAAAAGTAGTATTACCAGGGCGTGGTGGTGCACACCCCTAGTCTCAGCTACTAGAAAGGCTGAGGCAGGAGGATCCATTGAACCTGGGAGGTTGAGGATACAGTGATATGTGCTCACGCTGCTGCACTTCAGTTTGGTTGACAGAGCAAGACTCAATCTCAAAAGAAAAAAAAAAAATATCTATATATATATATATATATAGATATATAGATATATATATATATATATAGAGAGAGAGAGTGCAGTATAGCATCATGCTCAAGAGTGAAGACAGGTCAGCCATATGACCTGGGTTTAGTTTCTAATCTGCCACTGACTGGTTTGGCCATGAGCGTACTACTTAATTCCATTATGTTAAGGTTGTACAGTACAGTAACCGACCCTTTCTCACAGGATGATTTTGAGGACTAAATAGGCATTTAGTGTAACCCTTGCTTTGTAGTAAGTGCACGGTAGTTCTTGCTATTAATTTTCCAGTGTCCTGAAAGGATACAGCAATATTAAGCAGGGCATTTTTCCTCACTTCAAAGCTCTCACCATTTAGGGTGTACATATTTAATATTCATAATAAACCACCTGGTGCATATCAACATCTCATTTTAAATAAAAGAAAACTGAATCTCAGAGATAAAGCTTTCTGTTGAAGTACAGTTCATTCATGATTTAAGGAGTTAACATTCCTTCTCAATATTTGCTTCTTAGTATATAAATGCCCTCACTCTGAATCTCTTCAGGACAAAAGGAGCAGGATGTCTACTTGGGAAATAATTAAAGAATCAATTTGCAAATTTGGTACAAATACAGAAAGGAGAAGGGACATGGATTAGCGGCATTCAATAAGAATTTCTTCAGGGCTTCCATGCAAAGTAGCTGGGTCTTAGTGGAGGACAGTGAAGACTAAAAGATGTGGTCCTGATCATAAGGAGGTTATAATCTCTCCATGGCAACACACACACCCATGACACAGTTGGGGCACAATTTAAGATCTTGTATGTGTGAGAAAATAAGGTCTTGAGTGGAACTGCTTCCTGAGGAAATAGAACTTGAACTTGTTTGTGAATACCATTTTAGCTGAAAGGTCTGGAATTTGAATTTATACCATTGCCTGGCATATCACTGATGCTTCTCTTCCATTTTGTTCCGTGACTTATATATTTGGAAAGCAACTGAGACCTAATAATTTGGACTAATATTTTGGAATTGCCCACCTTGTAAAATGTATTGAGATAAGTCATCTTAAACTAGCAGTCTTAGCGATTATTGCCATTTTGCAGAGAGAGGAACCAAAGCTTAAAGAGTTTAAATAAGCAGTGCAGTTCCTTAATTTCACACTGACTTTGGCTGAGTTCTTTTAAGGGGTAGTTTTAGATCCTAAGCTTAAATTTGCCAGCACGTTTAGTATTGGAAATTTTCTATTGCATGGAGTTTTTATAAATCACATGCAATCACTTTAACTTTTTTGACCAAATTATCTCAGATACGTACGCCAGCCCATGAACGCAGCTAGTTCTGTTTTGCTGTTCAGTGTCATAATATTGCCTGGGGTGTAGGAGAAAAATCCTTGACTAGCTAGAGTGCATTCTTAGTCTCAGCAGCCCTTTCTCTGAGTAGGGATGAAAGCTTGGTTTATCTGACTCATACACCAAACTACTATGCTCTGTTTTCTGCATTCTGGTTTCTGCAACAGTTCTGATCCATGTGCCAATGACAAATAAAGCCTGTCAAGAAGAACAGTGATGGGATGGATTGTGGATCTATGGATTCTAGCACTGGTACTTTGTGTGTTGACTGTGGCCTTGCAGTTCCTCATGGAAGAGCTTACTGATAACATACGGTGGGCTGGGCCTACAGGATACCTGGAAAAAATGAAATTAAAACAAACAAAAAAACAATATCCATTAACCTCTGTGCTCACAGTCATTATCATCAATCAGTTGCTAGGTAGCTTTGCATTTTGGCAACTAGGTTAATTCCACTGTAAACACAAATGGTTTGCTGGCTGAAGCTATGGCTGAGTTTCTGAGTTTCGGGTCTGTCAGGCGGTTCAGCCATTCCTGTCACAGTCAAAGGATGGGAGGATGTGTCCTCTCCTCTGAGTGTTCTCAAGTTGCAAAAACAAATATTTAAAAAAAGAAGAAAAAGACTAGGGCTGCACATGGGGGGCAATTTTTCCTCATTGCATTTGCATGTAGAACTTACGTATCACAAGAATTATTAAAATACCTAGTAGGAAAGCATTGTAATGGGTGACCCATTTTAAAAGGGCTACTGCATTTCGGGTCCTCAGTAGGTTGATCAGGCCAGGGCCATGAGATACTCCTGTGAGAAGACTGGATGGACTTCTTTATAAAAGCAAAAGGAAATATTCTGACCACTTTTATAGATTGATTTATGTACCATTACTAAGAAAGTTTGTTTTCTACAAAACAAGGAACTGGATTCAGTTTCTGAATCACCCTGAGCCGGTGCTTGTGGGTGTGGTATATTAGACAGGTGCCTGTGGACG